GAACATTAGTATATTTCATAAAACATAATGATATAGGTGTTTCTGTTGCTTGCAAGTTTCCTATGCTGTAAATAGTTATGAGTGTCCCTTTTCTTAGACATCTTTGGACTCAATTATGTATGTATTTCATTTGAATATATATGCCTAGGAGCAGAAGTCCTAGATGGTGCATATATGCAGCCTTGACATTAATTGCCTGTTTTCAAGAATTGTACCAATTTACTGTGTTTATTGTATTTTATGGTATGTAATGCACATACATCAATATATCATTGTGTATAAATATAATGGGAAAAAATTTTCTTTGCAACTACACTGGAAAGAAACTGGCATGGAGGAGGGGAACTTAGACTTCTTCTTTTTTATTTCTACATTATTGAATCACTTCCAGACTTCCTTGCGAAATAATATGTTTACTGAGCGTTGTTAAGAACGTCTCATGGGCTTTGGTTTCCTCCCCTTTAAAGGACTAGAGCTGAGCTGTGAGCTCAATTACAGCTATAAGAGTGGAAGATATGCTAATCTCTGTGGACAAACAAGAATTGTAGCAGAAACCTGTCTCTTCAAAGATGGGAGGGGATATGTCTCAGTAAGTGGCAAATAAGGATACAGGCACAGGAAAGTTTCCAAACAAGGAAAGATATGAGTTGTACTAGACCTTCAGGGTCCGTCCTTAGAGCACTGGCCATTTTCAGGGAGGTAGTTCAAGCTCATGTGTGTATTTAGGGTGGAACAGACAGAGACTGAACACCAAGCTTAGGAGTTTTGTTAGTGTTTCATTAATGAGGAGGGTGGGTATTGAAGATTTGGCCCTAGGGTGGGGAAGGTGAGCCGGTTTGTAGATAGATGAGTAAGAGAGCTATTGAAGATGGGGGAGGGGTGATAATATAATAAAAAGATTGTCCACTTCATCATTCTCCAGTTTTTTTTTTCCTTCTGAGGTAATGATTCTTCTCACACCGCCTTATAATACTGAAGTTTCAGACTACGTCCGATGGCTGGGATCGAAAGAGATGTGTGGTAACACCCTCCCACAGGACAGCCATGTGACAACAAAGCACACAGCATTATTGCCCCTTGGAATCCCCACCAGGAAGTGTAACGTGTTCTTTGGGGCGATGTAGCAGGAATCTTAAAAGTTCTTATTAATAAAATCAAACCTGAGCCAGGTATTGGGGTGAGCGCTGGAAGAGCAGAGAGACAGAACAAGCCACAGCTAATCTCACCTGGTCAACTTCTCAGCTGATCTTGTTTCCTCAGACTGGAAACTTCTGTGTCCCCATCCCAATGGCTCTCAGCTAAACTGTTGCTCAAAGCCTAAAAGCTTAACCAGCTAAATGCTTCTAGTTCCTGGTCCTCACACCTTATATACCTTTCTGCTTTCTACCATCACTCCCTGGGATTAAAGGCGTGATGAGTCACCATGCCTGGCTGTATCCTTGAACACATGGATTTCTGCCTCTGGAATGCTAGGATTAAAGGCATGTGCTACCACTGCCTATCCTCTATGTTTAATATTGTGGCTGTCCTGTTCTCTGACCCCAGATAAATTTATTAGTGTGCACAATATTTTGGGGAACACAATAATACCACCACATTTCCCCTTTTTTTTCTAAAATTAAAAAAAGCTTATAACTAGTACAAGAAAAATTATATCCAATAAGTATATACAATATATAGTCAAAAATTACATTAACAATGTCTAGCCCATTAACATTTGACAAATTCAGACAAAAAACTCCATTATATATATATATATATATATATATATACAATGTCCAGTCCAGTAACATTTGATAAACTCAGACAAAAAATTTTCATTACTTATCCTATTTAAAACAATTAGTTCCTTTTTAAAAGTAGATTCAAAAATTGACCTTTTTATCTTATCATATTCATGGCACATGTTGCCCTGCTGGCATGGAAGAAGTGGGTCTGTGACATGCATGACCACTCCTGCCTGGTCGTCAGCCTCACAGAGCTGATCTAACCCGACAGGGAGGTGTCTCCACACTTCCCTTCCTGAAGATCATTTGATACAGAAGGGGGCTTTTCCCACTTGAAAAAAACCTTCATTGGTGCATTATATGCTCCCCCACTTAAATCCGTGCATTGGCTATTAAAGACTGTTCAAGCAATCCCACCCATTAACAAGATAACACCATCTTTGCATCCCAGATTTGAAAAGGTTCAAGATTCAGGATGGTATCTCTATTTCTCTACATGCATCCTCCTGGGTAAGCCCATAGATTTACAATATAATACCATCTATGGACAGTACTCATGGTCACTGCCCAGCAATGACTTTTCAACTTTACAATACTTTAAAAAATCCACTTTGGTAGAAACTCAGTCTTGAACTTTAAATTTTGACTTTTCCATGGCTGGTGAAAAGTGATGGGTAACTGTAACAGGTTGTTGTGTCATCGTAAGAATATACAACTATCACTTGTGGAGCTCTGTGTTGCCAGCACATTTTGGATACAGGTATTCAATACTTTGTAGGAGGTACTGAAGAAGGCTTTGCTTTAGATGACTTTTGTCCAACAGTAGGCTAAGTGTCAGTGTTCTGAGAAAGTTTAAGATAAGCTAACTAGCAGGTATGGTAGATAAATTAAATGCATGATTTCCTTATCAGACTTTTAATTCACATTAGGGGTCTGGCAACAGGTGTACATGGTGACAGTACTCACTTTATACCTCCAGTCTGTACTTCTCCAGCTATCCAAATACTGTGACATTTTTACCTCACCTTCTAATGCGCATCTAAAGCACAGTGTGTTCTAACATGCCCCAATACCTATCTCCTTGCTCTCTTTCCCGTTCCACTGTATTTCCAAGACACGAGGCAAAAGCTCCAGAGTCATTCTTGATCCTTTTTGCAACCACACTTCCCATCAAATCTTACCAGCTCAATTTCAAAACAGATCTAAAAGCCAACAGCTTCTCATCTGCCTAGCTACTGCCATCTAACCTGCAACCTGAGGCTTTCTTGACCAAGATCCCTTCATCCTCAGAACTGAAGTAATTTCTCATTTCTGACCATGACTCATGATGCCGCAAAAGCATCTAACTCAGACCCTGCTACCTCTCTGACGTCATCTTGTGAGTCATTCTCTACCATTACCTCTCCTTGCCTCTCTGCTGCTCCTGAGTATTCCCAGTGTTGCTCCTGTGTGTTAATGCTCACTCTGGACTTCTCATACATATTTCCAATGGATGACCTTCTTATCTTTGGGTCTTTGATTGTATGACCTCCGAAATGCAGCCTTGGCTGATTGTCCACATGAAGTTGTGTGCTCAGTCACCTTCTCTTGTCTGGTTCTGTGTACCGCTGATGGCTGGCTGCCCCTCCACTTCTACTTAATTTGTCTACTGCTTATCTCTTCCCCTAGGATCTAGATTCTCTGGAAGCAAAACCTTTGTCTTGTTGAGCCCGATAAGAAAAACATTTAACACACAGTACTTACTATTTGGAAGAATAATATATTTCTGATGAGTACAACACAGAAGTGTGCTGTGGGATAATGCTTTTGTACACTGGTTTAATAAAATGCTGGTTGGCCAGTAGCCAGACAGGAAGTATAGGCGGGATAAGCAGACAAGGAGAATTCTGGGAAGAGGAAGGCTGAGTCAGGAGACGCCATCCCGCCATCCAGGGAGCAGCATGTATTGGCACACAGGTAAAGCCATGGGATACATGGCAACATAGATGAACAGAAATGGGCTGAGTTTAAGTGTAAGAGCTAGTCAGTAGTGAGCCTGAGCTAATGGCTGAGCAGTTTTAATTAATATAAACCTCTGTGTGTTTACTTGGGTCTGAGCGGCTGCAGACTGGGCGGGACACAGGAAAACTTTCAGCTACAGAAGTGTTACCTTCTAAAAACAAAGTGTTCTTTGGAAGTACCTATTAATGAAAGGAACTTCCACAAATCAATCTTGCGCTCTTGTACTCTCCCTTGCCCGCTCTCCTGCTCTCGCTCATCCTCTCACTGCCTACCTATCTGTCTATTTTGAAATTTCTGGGAAAACTTAACTGTCTACTTAGAAATAATTGAATAATCTGGGTGTAGCAGCGTACACCTGTAATTCTAGCACTTGGGCCATGGAGGTAGGTGGACCAGGCGTTCAGAGCCATTGTTGTCTGCACAGAGAATTTGAAGCCAGCCTGTGTAGCATGAATCTTAAATGGTCTTATTAATAGAAAACCCAGAGTCAGATATTGGGGTGAATTCTGAAAGATCAGAGGAATAGAACAAGCCACCGTCAACCTCACCAAAACAACTCGTTATCGGATCCTGTTTCCATGAACCCTCAGACTGAAAGCTTCTGAGGCCTCACCTGAATGGATCTCAGCTGAACTGCTGCTAAAAGCCTAAAAGCTTAAAGCCCTCTAGTTCCTGGTCCTCACACCTCATATACCTTTCTGTTTCCTGCCATCACTCCCTGGGATTAAAGGCGTGTGTCACCATGCCTGGCTGTTTCCAGTGTGGCCTTAAATCACAGAGATCCAGATGGATCTCTGCCTCCCAAGTGATAGGATTAAAGGAGTGTGTGTGTGTGCCTCCATTCTCTGGACCCTATGTCTATCTAGTGGCTGTTCTGTTCTCTGACCCCAGATAAGTTTATTAGGGTACACAATAAACTGGGGGACGCAATACCACCATAAGCCCAGGATTACATGAGACCTTAGCTCAGAAAGAAAGAAAAAAAGAAAGAAAGAAAGAAAGAAAGAAAAAAGGAAGAAAGGAAGAAAGGAGGAAAGAAAGGAAGCAAGAAACAAAGGAAGAAAGGAAGGAAGGAAGAAAAAGGAAGGAAGGAAGAAAGGAAGGAAGGAAGAAAGAACGGAAGGAAAAAAGAAAGGAAGGAAGGAAGAAAGGAAGGAAGGAAGGAAGAGAAAACAAATGTCTGTGTTAGAAACTGAAGAGTGAAGATAGCTGCAGAACTCATAAAATTGGGAGTGTAAGGATGTTTTTATGAATTCAATGAAATCCTGTGGACTCTTTTAACATTTTGCATTTTATTAAAAATTAAATGATTAAAAGTACTGAACAATCAATCATCCATCATTATAAGAAAACAATGATAATAAAAATATACTGAAATGATTTATGGCAATAAAAGTGAACCTCTCAATTAGTAAAGAAACTCCATCCTGGTTCATAGTAACACAGACACAAAGATCCATGCTTCCTTTTATATTCTTTAGAAATCTTGCCATTTTTCCATTAAATGTTATATTTTCTTGAACTATTTTTAAATTCTTTCACCCTTTCTTTGGTTTGGGATAAATTAAAGATATTTTAATTCACAGAGTCACTAACCCACATCTGAATTTTTTTCCCAGAAGTGATTTCCTGGTTGCAATTTTTACCAGAGAGAGCCTAAGACTTGCTTATGAAAATAGAATATTGTAAAAGCACTCCCCTGATTTTTCCCTTTTCAGTCTAGACAGCATCATTTACTAACTTACAATCTCATTTCACCTATAAATAAACTATCTTTAACACAGGCATGAAAATAAGTCCCAGGAGAAGGTCACTTTTAGGATCGGTGAGACCTCTGAGTCTCCAGACACCTTCGAGCAGTACTTTGCTTTCCAATCAAAATGCCTGGAAGATAAAAACCGCACCTGGTTCTATTTTTACTGCAGTTCTTTGCTGATAGAAATGATACATCTCCACCTCCCAACCTCTGAAGGCAAACACGGTGATGCTAGTATTACACGGTTATCCTGGAGCCACCATCGTATTGTTAGATGTCCTACTCACTAACTCCCCTTTTAAACGCTGGGTTGAGGGAGAAACAGTCGGATGGCACCTAGGAACTGATGATACAAAGTGGGCTGAGTGGGCTGGGAGAAGGCAGAGTCGATGGCCCTCTTAGCAGTAATATCGGACCACAGAGCAGCCAGCCAGGCCCCTGGTGGGTGGGACTCTCGCCACTCATCAATCCAGAAAAACCCTCTATGTGAGAAACTGAGCACTCGACACACTCCCTAGGCATAGAGAGTGACACTCTACGCCCCGTGGCTATCTGAAAGGAAGGATCAACATAGCAACCTGACCGGTGTCCCTTCTCTACCCTGTCCCGGTGCTGCAGTAAATACGTGGAGAGAGTGAAGGAGAAAATGTCAAGTAGAACAAAGCTCCAAAGTCACTTCTGGTTGGTCGTCTGCGTAAAGAGCAGATCCAATGAGCATCTACTCGCCGCAGATAGGTCAGTTTCCAAACATCTCTAAGTAGACAGCGATCCCCACTTCTTACAGCAGGAAATGTGCTGAGAACCATCTCTCACATGTTTAAATGGTGCATGCATACATGGGTACGTATGTAAAGTTTATTTTAGAGTGAAGAGACTTATGCTGATTAGGGATGTGTGTGTATGAAAATAAACCAGGCTGAAGTACCAGAAAGGGGCCTTGCCTCTAATGGACGTTTCTTCCATGTTCTCCACTCCCCTGACTGGAACAGTCAGGGGGGACATACGGTCTGAAGAAAACAGAGTGGAGAGAGGCCCGAGGGTGGGGAGAACTGCTACTTTCAGCAAGGACTCAGGGAGGCTCTAATGAAGAAGTGACATCAGAGCAAAGACTAGGTTGGGATGACGTAAGGATGCTGGTACTACAATTCTCAGCTGTCCAGTCATCAAACACGCCAACTTAAATGTTAATGTTGGAAGCATATGCAAAAGATTTTGATTATGCTTATATTCAGCTTTAAATGTGGGAGACTTTTAAATGCACTGTCTAAATTTGACAGTGAAAACTAGTTTACTGCTGTGTTTTAACACAATTGGCTTGCAAGGCATTTCTCAGCTATTCAGGACTAATCGTGTGGTAACAAAGGTATGAGAAATCTCATTATGAAACCCATCGCTTTATACATTGCATATGCAGTAATTATTTTAAAGTCATCGCAACAAGTAGTAGAACCAGAATCTTTTTCAAATGGACAAATTGTCTCAAATATGACTGCTATTTAGTCTTGATGGAATCATTAAGAGAATGAGACCAAAATATACGTGATGGTCTAGAGTTACAAAATGGCATATTCTTAGGGAATGCACCCGTATTATCAGCGTGTGAACACTAATTGTAGGTATAAGTGATGAAAAGAGGGAATTTGAGGATACACTAGGGTCTTTTGAGCAAAGCACTAGGTCCCAAGGAGCTTCAGGCATGCGTTCCGAAGGGGCTAGGGAGTTCAACCTTTGTTCTTTTTACAAAGTGAGTGTTCAAAACTAAGTACTTCCTCACTTGTGTTTCTCTCGGGTGTCCCACCGTCTCCTGCTGTCAGACAGAGGTGAGTACATACACCAGGTAATACTTGTTCCTATGCTTTTCAAGTGACAAATGGTGTGGCCAAGGCCTCACATGTTCCAGCAAGTCCATAATTCCAGAGCAGTGATATCACGACGCCACTTGGAACCTCTTTCTCGAAGTCAGAGTTGCTCTCTGGTAAGATTTAGGTAGATACTGTGAACCTGAAACACAAGACACACAGGCATTTGCCATAAAAGGTTAAATCCCAGCACTCAGGAGGTAGAGGCAGGCGGATCTCTGTGAGTTTGAGGCCAGCCTGGGCTACCAAGTGAGATCCAGGACAGGCACCAAAACTACACAGAGAAACCCTGCTTTGAATGCCTCCCCTCCAAAAAAAAGAAAGAGGGAGATTAAATTTCATCCTCCAAAGATTGCTCTGTCTGCTCCCTGCAGACCATATTTTGAAAAATTAAAAAAAAAATTATTTAATGTCATGTTTACATAAACTACAAAGTAGTCATGTGCAAACACCATCACGGAGAATCCTGAGTAAGGGGAAGGGATCCCCCACCCCACAACCAAACCCAGGATCCGGGATGCATTCTCCCCAGCTGAGGAGTTTACAAGAAAGAACTTTTGCTGCAGAGATCTGTTTAGGCCCAGGATGATGAGGTGGAAGGTACCTCTGTACCATTGTGCCAGCCATGAAAGATGGACCCCCATTACTTGAGATAGCCATCTCCATTTTTTTTTTCCTACCACAGAACAAACAGAAAGCTCCTGGTGATCTTTGTTCTGGAAGCAGAGTTCACAAGAAAGTCCCGTGCCTGGGTGGGGCAGTACACACCTTTAATCCCAGCACTTGGGAGGCAGAGGTAGGTAGATCTCTGCAAGTCTGAGACCAGCCTGGTCTACATAGTGAGTTCCAGGCCAGCCAAGGCTTAATAAAAGGAGGGAGGAGTGACTGAGGAGAATAACTGACATCATGCACATATACCACACCATACCACACACACACACACACACACACACACACACACACACACACACACACCCCATACACACACCATGAAACATGGCTGCCCTTAAGAGAGAGAGCACTATCATCACTAATTATGTCAATTAAGACTGCCAGGAAGGATAAAAAGCATCAAAAAGCTATTAAACAAGAGGACAACAAAAGGCTTAAGGGTCTAAAGCATCCATGAGCACAGCATACTTGTGCTCATAGCAGCTGGAAGGATGCGACAGGAGGTTACCATAAATTCAAGGCTAGCCTGGGCTATCTAGCATGACTTTCCCAAAAAGCAAGTTTTAGGGTGTAGGTAAGTGGTAGGCCCATTTACCTTATACATAAAGGACTCTGGGTTTGTCTCCTCATTAAAACAAAACTTCTGAAATCTGTGATGTCACTAGGCTAAGGAAGGCTGATATAAAACAGTAATAAATGTGTTATGCAATGCTAACCTAATTTAATTTTAGATTATGACTTACTAAAAATTTCTCTTCCAACAATACATTTACTTAACATTTCAGCTGCCCCTATCACAAATGGCTTATAATTCTAAGCAAATGGTACATGTCTAGCACCTAGCTATTATTCCCTTGTCATGGATTTTTCCAGGGATTATTTTACCCACGTGGCTTGACATAAAACAGAAGACCTTGTCCAGAGAGGTTGAGACATGCCCGAACTTACAGATCTGTACATCCCACGCTATGCTCCCTCCATGGACAGAAATATGACAACACTTTAAAAATCAAAACATCACTGGTCCCCATCCCACTAGAACTTGCTTTATCCACTAGGCCAAGGATAAGTACTTTCATGTCAAACCCTACACTGCAAAACATTTAAGAAGCCTCTATTAATTTTCTCAAGCGCTGTCACAGTGGATTTTTTTCAGGGCGGATCCAGAATAAGGGTTTCACTTAGCAGGACTGAAATCACAGTGGGAGAAGGAGACGGCAGCCTCTCTGAAGGCAGCCTGTCCTTCGTTTCAAGAGAGCGAGGTCCTGCTTGATTAAGAGCAGGTCTCCCATTGCTGCTTGCCACTCAGCAGTTGGTAAGTGATGGTCTGGCGCGGTGTCTGAGGTCAGGCCAACCAACCATGGACCACACGCACCTGCTCTTCCTTCCTACATGGTCAAGGCAGAGGCATCGAGGTGGATGATCTTCAATTTCATTTTCTGAGTTTTTTAAATCTCACGAATCGCACCATTGCGCTCGCTCTCTCTCTCTCTCTCTCTCTCTCTCTCTCTCTCTCTCTCTCTCTCTCTCTCTCCCTGTGTGTGTGTGTGTGTGTGTGTGTGTGTGCGCCAGTGACCTCCTCCTCCCCTCCTCCCTCTTTTTCTCTGACACCCTCACTGTGTAGCCCAGAGTGGCCTCCGTCTTTCCAACCTCTGGCCTCAGCCTCCAGAACACTCAGATGGCAGAAGTGTGTCATCACACCCAGCTCATACCATTTGTCTTTACACGTGGAGGGATGCTAACCTGTCAAAACACTTTGACCTGTCCAAGTGTGAGCAACAAACTCCATGGGTGTCAGGGAACCTTTTCTTGGTGTATCTGACTGTTAGGAGAAAGAGAAAAATGGGGTGAGCTGTATTGTTTTCAGATTTTCATTTAAAATTGAAATGAAAGACAACACAGAACCTACCCGGAAGGTGTGTGTGGTGCTGGGCCTTGAAAGTTGCTCCAGGACAATGGTTCTTTCTCGAAGAGGCGACCGCTCCACACTGTCAGGCATCGCACTCAACACACGGTTTTGCGGATGCCTTCCTCTGTACTAAGTGGAAGACAACATGTTCTTCTAAAGAACAAACACAATCCTCATAACAACAAAAAGAAACCTATAAATGGTTCAGTTGTTCACTCATGTATCCAATCGCCCACTTATCTGAACATTTTGATGTACACATTGCTAAGTGTATGCTTTGCTGTGGAAACATCTAAACATGAGTCTGTGTGTGAAGTATGTGTCCCTGTCACTTAGCTCAATAAAGCTGTAGTGTAATGGGATACAAACGGGGTCCAGAGACCTTACCCACATAAAGTTGTACTCATTAAATTGGACTAGAAATGTAATAGTGTGCTTTGAAACATAGACTTGTTTATGTGACATCTGCCTTCATTGATTACTTTATCCAACAGTCTAACTCCACAGCGCTTGCCTTCTGGGAATGGGTCCTAGCGCTGCTTAAGGTGTGTGTGTGAGACAAACTCAGCTGTTGTTTTCTCCCTCTCTGCTTTATGTTCCTACAACTGGAACTCTTCTGTGCCCTGCAGATACAAGTCGCTTATAGCAGAGTAATGTGTGTGTGGGGGTGGGGATTGGGGGGTGGTGTTACTGTGAGCCTGGGAGAGGCCTGGTCATACACACTGCCAGTAGCACTCCTTCCCCATCCCCATGATTGCGTGGCAGAGCTGGGCTTGGGTGATCGGCCTCTGCCCTGCACAAACATGGAAAAGGTTAGCTATAAAAATAAGAGCATGCCGGGCGGTGGTGGCGCACGCCTTTAATCCCAGCACTCGGGAGGCAGAGCCAGGCGGATCTCTGTGAGTTCGAGGCCAGCCTGGGCTACCAAGTGAGTCCCAGGAAAGGCGCAAAGCTACACAGAGAAACCCTGTCTCGAAAAACCAAAAAAAAAAAAAAAAAAAAAAAAAAAAAAAAAAAAAAAAATAAGAGCAGATGTAAAGGACATTGATGACGATTTACTGAGCTCTTACTTTGTGCAAGGCATTTGAAGTTTATGAATGCATCTGCTGCGTGTAAGGACTCCTTGATGCAGGAATGGCTTTACGCTTCTAAAGTGAGAACTAAGATGGAGGACCATGGAAGTAACGTGCATCAGGTCACAGGACCTGTGTGTGTGGCCACACTGAAGTGCAGAGCTGCCTGCCCCTCACCATTATGCTCTTGTCTCCACTACACCAGCCAGAATTTCAGGTCTTTCCTTAACGCCCGGGCTTTCCAATTCAGTTCAAGCTGAGGTTTATTTCCTAAAAGGGTGAATCAGTCTCCTCACTCTCTCGAGACTTTCACAGGCCATTCAGTTTCTACAAGTGGATTATGAAGACATGTTGAACACAGCCAACTAGATCCCTCTTCAGTGTGACTGACTTCTCTGAGTGCCAAGATGGTTTTCCCACAGACTGTCTAAATGGTTGCAATTATAATGGAATTCATCTTACAGAAACAGGGCGGGATCCGGAAGCTGCTGTGTTCTGCTCCCCAGCCTCAGCGCCTATTGGGGGTAACCGGCTCCGGGAGGCTGGAATTGCTGAGGAAGGCAGGTGGTCAATGCCGGTTTGCCTGTAAACACAACAACATACAAGTAAACACCAGAACACACAGAAGAGAAAGGGACAGTCTGAGCTACTGATTGCAACCGCTTCTAAAAACAGTGACAGCAAGCTGCATTTCAGGGAGGTAAATATGAAGCCAGGACAAGCAAGGCCACTCAACTTGACTGTGTCTAGCAATGAGTATCAGCCTGCATCTATTGAGTGCATGGCTATGCTAGGAAGTATGCAGAATATAGGTTCAGGATAGATCCTCCCCAAAGGATCTGAGAAGTTGACAATGCAAGTGAGAGCCATGCAACCCTGCAGTATGATCCAGCATATAACAAGGTGCTGTGGTATAGATTCTGAATATTAATCTATTAATTAATATTAATCCTGAATAGTAATATATTAGTGATAGAGATTTGCGGAGTGGAACCATCAATGAAGAATATAATTAATTATAAAAGCACAGAACTTAAATGAGGACAATTGCAAAGCTTTACTCAAGATACAAAAAAAGCAATGTGGAATTAGTGAGCAAACGTTGTTTGTCGGGAGAACAAGAGCCACCAGGAAGAACCGTGATCCATTTTCTACGTTTTTCATAGATTTGATGCTGTGATGTCCATGTGATACTTTTGTTTTGAATTTCACACACTGGTGGTCAAGTTCATTTTTTTGGTGGTTTGATAATAAAATCCTAATTAAAATATGGTAATGACAGGAGAGTATCCCTATCAGGCATCAGTATTTAAAAATCTGCCATTCTTTTTTGTATAAAAATAGATATTTTAGAAACAACTTGAATTAATTTATTCACTAGTAATGAAATTATGACCTTTTCAAAGTAGTAAACTTTTGACCAGTAGAGGCTACAGAGAATGAGAGGTGCCTATGCTGCCAGTGGATCTATAAACAGGCACAGGCATTCTAAAGAACATCCTGGCAAAATATGACTATTAAAAATATTCATAACCTTTGACCTGACAGTTTTGCTTCTAGACAGTTCCAGTAGGAAACAATTTAAAGGTATTCTTACTAAGAGTGATAAAAAATGTTTACTATGCTTCACAGTGATAATATAAACAACAAATGGGAAATTTCACTAATAGTGAATACTAAATAACCATATGGCCGTTTGATTAATTTGTGGTCATTAAAACCACTCTTTCAAAAATTTGTAGTGTGGGGAATACCAATGTTACAATGTCAGAAAAAAAATTATATAACAAAGTGATGCATTGTATGACAGGTAATTCTAGAACAGAGGGAAAATACTAGAGAAGAAATAGTCAACGTCTACATAAAATGGATAGGAAGTTAACCAAAAGTTATGACTCAAATGATCCTTGACTTGTATAATTTTTTAAAAGATTTATTTTTATTTTTAGTTATGTTTATTTGTGTGTCTGCCACATATGTGTGAGAAGGATCAGATTAGGGCATCAGATTCCTCAGAGCTTGTGATACAGGAGAGTTTGAGCTGCCCACCTTGGGTGCTGGAAACTGAACTCGAATCCTCTGGGAGAGCAGCAAGTACTCTTAACTACGGAGTCATCTCTCCGGCCACTCTATTCATATTTTTGATGTTGGGGTCATATTCATCAATATTTGGTAAAAAAAAGTAGAGGTTCAATAAATGGTGAAGACCAAGGCTAAGGGTATAGATTAGTGGTAGGGATTTAGGATGAGGTCCTGGATTCTATCATCAGCACCAAAATAACAATAATAAAGAAAAGAGCAGGGCGGTGGTGGCGCACGCCTTTAATCCCAGCACTCGGGAGGCAGAGGCAGGCGGATCTCTGTGAGTTTGAGGCCAACTTGGGCTACAGAGTGAGTTCTAGGAAAGGCACAAAGCTACACAGAGAAACCCTGTGTCAAAAAACAAACAAACAAAAAAAAAACAAAGAAAAGAAAGAGTACAAATAGATACGAAGTAGTGGCAGTAAGAGGATGCAACCCTGGATGCTTATGGATGAAGAAAAAGCAGTTCAGAATCACGATAAGGGAAGAGAGCAGTAAATGATTACATATTGTCAGAGGGAGAGGTCTTCCCAAAGGGGCAAAACCTGGACTCTTACATACAAAACACTGCTGTCCATGTAGATACCCAGCTTATCTGTGGCATTCACATCCCACAGGCGAGCAATGAAGGGCAATGACCTAAAAGGGCTCGTTAGTGACAGCGGAAAGAATAACACTAGAAACACCCATATGGAGAGAGGGGTCAAAGCAGAGGGAACACACCACGCAGGGGTCTAGAGTTATTTCCGCAGGGAACAGAAGTGGGTTTGGGTGAAGGTCCGAGGGTGAACCTCATGAAGACTGGAGCTGACAGTATGCTGCTGACATGGGCAAGGTATATAGAAAACATAAGAAGTGACCATTGTGAGAAAAGAAAAGGGGAATGGACATAGCTTAAATGAATGAATACAGGCAGCAGACCCAAACTGCCCAAAGCTGACACCCAGAAAGCTGAAAGCAGTGCTGTGGTGGTTTAAAGGAGCCTGCCTGTAGGCCCATATATTTGAATACTTGGTCCCCAATTGGTGGAACTGTTTGGGAAGGTTTAGGAGGTGTGGCCTTGTTGGAGAAGGTGTGTCACCAGGGGGAGCTTTGAGGTTTCAGAAGCCTATGGCATTCCTTAGTTAGCTCCATCAACCTCTCTGTCTCGTGCCTTGCCGTACTTAGGGATCATATGGAAGCTCTCTGCTACTGCTCCAGCTCCATGCCTGCCTGCCTGCCTGCCTGTCTGCCACTACACTTCCTGCTGTGACATCAGGGATGCTAACCCTCTGGAGCCATGAGCCCTAATAAATGTTTTCTTTTATAAGTGGCCTTGGTTGTGGTGTCTCTTCACAGCAACAGAAAAGTAACTAAGAGGTGCTGTGGATGCTTCCTGAAAAGTTCAGCAACTGATTGACTGGGGGTACCCCAGCCATGCCTTCAAGTGCTTTGATCATCAGCAAGAAAGATGTTTCCAATTTCTTTCAGTCTGTTTCCTCAGCTTAGATCTGGGCATACTATGGAGGTCTGTAGTACAGAATAATTATAGTTTACTTGGTGTTGATTAGAAACAATAATAATAAAGTAACAGCTGTTATTATTACGGTATTTCCTGACAAGTAAGTAGTCAGAAGGAAGCGCCTTGGAGTTCTGTGATGAAGGAAGAAACAAATAATTTGCTCATTAGTCTCTAGTGTTATTTCCTAAGAAAGCCCTTTCTGTTCTAAAAAAAAAGTGAAAAACACTCCTTTAAACTTTTCAAAAAGATTCATTTTATTTTATGTGTATGGGTGTTTTGTCTGCATGTCAGTATATCACATGCACATAGTACCCCTGGAGGTCAGAACAGGGAGTCAGATCATATGGGACTGGAGCCAGAATGGGTAAGCTGTGATCTACCATGTAGGTGCTAGGAATCGAACCTATATCCTCTGGAAGAGCAGCCAAGTGCTTTGAACCACTGGGACATCTCTCCAGATCCTGGTCCTTTATTTATTGATTTTTAAACATTTTATATAACCCAGGTGTGTAGCTCAATGATGGGAATACTTTGAGCAATGCAGCCTCAGGCCATCCCGTCATGTGTAAATGTCATACAATGGACCTATGATGCCAGGAGTCAAGGCAATCTTAAGTGACCACTGTCATATACTTGGTCCGTAATTGACCAGAACATTAGTATGACTAATGCATGACTGTGCATTATTTTACTTAAACCCTTCCATAAAAAGTGCTTTGTAATTTTAGAAGCATTAATGATCCATTTTACAATGGGGCCACTAAATTAACCCAAGCTCACCCACCATCAATTTAATTTTCCTAGTGGCCTGAGCTTCAGGCCTTTGCATGGACTTTTACTCAAGCTACCCACATGGCTGGAACAAAATCCAACAGATGAACTCATTTAGAAGAATCTGGAGTAAAATCTGACGGAGGACCCTTTCACCAGATCCTCCAGTTCATCAGCCCTAACTGGCAAGTGCCCCTGGCCCCTGTGGCCTTCAGTCTGCCATGAAAAAAAAAAAACAAGACTCACAGTTTCGTTCCCCTCAGGATTTCATCACTATAGACGGTGGGGGTTTTCAGTCTCTGTGGGTCTGATGCAATGGAAGGGAGTCTCCTATGCACTGGTGTTTTCTTGGCAGAAGTCAGTGGTCCCCGAGGGTCTGGGATGCGGCCCAGTCGGTGACGTGAAGATGCACCAACCCCTGCCCCAGACACTCTGTCGTCTTGTTCGTTCCTGGGGAAGGTAATGTCGGTTAAGTACCCATACCTAAGTTTCCTGAGGGCAGGAGACACATAGCAACAGAAGAAATGGACATTTCTACTGCTATGTCAGTGAAGAGCAGGAGGGGAAAGATTGATAATCCAACAGGAAAGCCCGAGAGAGGAAGAGTTCACAGCTCCAGTCCCCATTCCTCATCCCTTCCAACCTACTACACAGCAGTGATCATTTTGTGGCTCATACCAGAAGAATCTGCTTCTGTCCTTGCATGCTGGGTAATTCTTTCTTTTTCTTTTTTAAAAATATTTTTATTTTATAATTAATTTAATTTTACATATCAGCCACGGATTCCCCTGTCCTTCCTCCTTCCACCCCCCCAGCCTCCCCCACAATCCAACCCTCATTCCCACCTCCTCCAAGGCAAGGTCTCCCCTGGGGAGTCAGTCCAGTCTGGTAGATTCAGTTGAGGCAGCTCCAGTCCCCTCCTCCCTACACCAAGGCTGAGCAAAGTGTCTCAGCATCAAAATACCCAACAGTCCAATTAAAAAAAATGGGCTATAGAGCTAAAAAGAGAATTCTCAACAGAAGCTCAAATGGCTGAAAGACATTTAAGGAACTGCTCAAGATCCTTAATCATCAGGGAAATGCAAATCAAAATGACTCTGAGATACCATCTTACACCCATCAGAATGGCTAAGATCAAAAACACTGATGACAGCTTATGTTGGAGAGGATGGGGAGCAAGGAAAACACTCCTACACTGTTGGTGGGAATGCAAGCTTGTACAGCTACTTTGGAAATCAATATGGCGCTTTCTTAGAAAATTGGGAATCAACCTCCCTCAAGACCCAGATACACCACTCTTGGGCATATACCCAAGGAATGCTCAATCATACCACAAGGACACATGCTCAACTATGTTCATAGCAGCATTATTTGTAATAGCCAGAACCTGGAAACAACCTAGATACCCTATAACTGAAGAATGGATAAATAAAATGTGGTACATATACACAATGGAGTACTACTCAGCAGAGAAAAACAATGACATCATGAGGTTTGAAGGCAAATTGTGGAACTAGAAAGTATCATCCTGAGGGAGGTACCCAGACTCAAAAAGACAAACATGGTATGTACTCACTCATAAGTGGATACTAGATGTAAAGCAAAGGATAACCAGACTACAATTCACAACTCCAGGGAAGCTACCTTGTAAAGAGGACCCTAAGAAAGACACAGGGATCGCCCAACGACGAAAAAATGGATGAGATCTACATGAGCAAACTGAACGTGGTGGGGGGGGAGCTAATGGAGGGCAAGGGTAGGGGGAAAGAGAGCTTAGGGGAGCGGGAGGTCCCAGCTAGATAAGGAACAGAGTGGGAGAACAAGGAAAGAGATACCATGATAAATGAAGACTTCATGGGAATAGGAAGAAGCAGAGTGCTAGAGAGGTACCCAGAAATCCACAAAGAAACCTCCACGATAGGCTACTGGCAATGGTTGAGAGAAATTCTTTCTTAATACTTACTGTGTTTTATCTGCAAAATAGGTGGGTCTCTGCTGCAGGGGCTTGGCTTGAATCGTCATTACACCACTCAAATCACTATAGAAGTTGCTGGAAAAGCGATGGAGCTGAGAAAACTAAAAACAGAATAGCATCATTGAATCAATACCCAGGCCATTTTGTTGATAGATGCCTGCTGGGAATTAGCAGGCAGCAAATGGCACCAATTAGTGAGTGAGAGGAAAGTGTAAGTCTATTTCTTTTAGAAATAGATACGACTATAGATGCCATCTTCATAGAATTCATATTCATATGAAACAAAGCAAGGGGGGTTATATTGAATGTATCTGAGACCAAAAGCAATAGCAAGCAAGTAGCAACTTCAAAAGTTACTTCTAAGCAGGAAAAGCAAAGAACGGTTATCATTAAGGTCTTATGCTAGACAGCAAAGCCAGACTGGAAGATTCAGCTTCACCCCGAACTACAAGGCCCACTCAGGCCTGTTTTCTGTTCAGTGTTATGAAGGTTTTCTGTTTATATACTCCATGCTAGATCCGTCTTTTGTCTCTTGGTTTTCTGTTGTTACTGTTTTGGCTTTTGTTGTTGTTGCTGTTGGTTTTCTTCTTTCTTTCTCGGTTTAACAAATCTTACTCATCATTTAGGCTTACACAGCTTTGTAAAGGGTATGGAATTTTTTTTTTCTCTGAGCCCCACAAAACTTATGCTGTAAAGCAATTTAATTAAATGGAATATATAAATAGCATGTGGTTATAACGGAAGCCAATACAGAGTGTCTACTTGATACACTAGTGAATGGCTTAAATCCATTAATTCTTAGAACTTCCAACTGCACAAAGGGCACAGAGAATAACAATGAGCCTTTGCAAGAAGGACTCACATTACGTCAGGCTGCAGACTTGCACCCTACATGTAAAGCACAAATCCTTAGCCACTCCACTAGCAACTGTACCGCTTCTTTGTGTGTGTGTGTGTGTGTGTGTATGTGTGTGTGTGTGTGTGTGTGTGTGTGTGTGTGTGTGTGTGTGTGTGTGTGTGTGTGTGTGTGTGTGTAGGGGGTAAGGGTGTATAGCTCTAGAGCAAAACTTGCAAATGGTCTTTTTACCCTGCTCCCCAACACAAGATGGGCAGAGTTAAGCATCATGTTCAGACTCCCAGCTACCCCGAAGATTCCCATGAACAAGCCAACCTTCTCTAGCCTCGCCTGCTACTCCATCTTTAAATAAAGACGAAATTATGAAAGACTGCATTGAGGGCTTATGTAGATTCTGGGCTGTGATCTCTCTTGTACTTCTAGAATAGGAGCCCGAGAACAATCCTTAGACCATATACCCTTACCCTTAACACATATAGAGACTAATGTGTGGAAGAGCTAACACATGAAACAATATCTTGAGGACATACATCGTCTCTTAACGCCAACCCCCCTGATTTTGCTTCAGTACCCAGTGGCTTCCAGTGTTCTGTCATTTAAGCTCTCATTCTAAATGCTGGTCTCAGACACATCTGTTTTCACTGACACACAACCATGCCGGGGCTGAAATAGCCTAACCCAAAACCCCACCCATGCTGTTCATCTCTTCATGTTCCTGCTCAGGTGTCACCTCTAAAAAGGTCATCCCTCCATCTTTAACCAAGACACACAATTCTCTCCTTAATTCTTCAATTTCCTCCTTCCCTGCCTCCCTCCTTCCCTCCCTCCCTCCCTCCCTCCCTCCCTCCCTCCCTCCTTCCTTCCCTTCCCTCCCTCTCTTCTTTCCTTTCCCATCCCTCGCAGAGTGTATGTTATCTGACCCTGGGCCAAAGTTTTGTTTCACTAGGTTAGTGACTGGTTTCATTCAACCATGTATCTTCCTCAAAACATCTAACAGGGTACATATAATATAAACAATAAGTGCTCCACGAACTCTGTGAATACTCATTAATATGTTTTCCACTTCAGTGTAAGGGGTGGAGATGGTTTATGATGGCTAAATATTTAGAAAAAAAAAAGGGTGTTTTGCTCTCCTAAAATGTAGAAACTAGTTCTGTATCTCAAATCGATGCCAATTCACTAAAGAAAGCTGTGATTCTCTTAGACACCAAGAGACAACCACATTACTTTTAATCTTATTGACAGGCAACCACGTACTTTTTTTGTAAGCTATTTACTACCCTTTTGGGGCAACTGTTGCTGTCTTAAGTTTTGTTTTTTTTTTTAAGCCACCTTCAAGCATAGTGACACGAGCTATCCAGTGTCCTCAAGCACAGGAGGGTGTGAGGTACATTAGGGAGAGAAGTGACTAAAATAACGCTCTTCTTCACAAGCAGATGCAAAAGGCATAAAGATAAAGGGACAGAGAGACAGTATCAGTGCACCTACCTGGGGTGGATTAAAGTGGGGCGTCAAGGATGTGTGCAGAGTTTCAGAGCTCCGGGACGGGGGGACACTGGAAACATCAGTGCTGAGACGAGACACGAGCACATGTGGAGACCTATTTTCAGCTACTTTCGAATTTTCTTTATGTTTTTTTTCATCTGTGGCAACAGAAAAAAATCAACAGGAAATGTATGTCCTGAGTTACCAGGAGTTTATGCTACAGACATTGATCAGACAACCCTGCAGCAGAGGACAGAGACTCCAGGGGACAACTGGTTACTGAAATGATCTTATCAGAGGTAGGAGAACAGATTTTACAGAGGGACAAAGAAGATTGTCCAGGACAAGGATGTCCCTTTTAGGTGATCAAAGATTGCCTGTGTCTAAGGCAGAATGGTTACTTCTTATTGCAGTCATGTTTTGGGTCCAGCCCAAACATAAGGTGGGGAGTGAGGGCTGTGATGGTGTGGTCTTTTCTATTCTTCCCCGGAAGCCAGGCTCTGTATATCGGTACCTGTGAGTGCAGATTCCCAGGTTTTTCTAATGAGATCTTTCAATAGTTCTATCACATTGGTCCAAACATGATCAAATACTTCTGCTGCCACAGCATCTCTGATACAGTCGTGAGGGGAAATGGGAGGAAGCCCATGTCGACGCCACTTCCTGCAGCGGAGTGTTGAGTTTTGTTCCAGATGCTCATCTCCACTAAGGATGAAATCAACTCTAATTACTAAAATAGCCAGGGTTAAGGTCAAAATAATTACCTATGTGTTTTTAATCTATCTATTATCTATCTATCTATCTATCTATCTATCTATCTATCTATCTATCTATCTATCTATCTATCCATCCATCCATCCATCATCTCTATCTATCTATCCATCTATCTATCTATCTATCTATCTATCTATCTATCTATCTATCTATCTATCTGTCTGTATCTATCACCATATATCTTATATAATACATTCCTTGTAAACATCCCCTTGTTATTTTTAAAACATACAACTTTAATTTGTCAATTAAAAGTCAACAGAACTGGGAAAAACAAAACCGAAAAGAAAAAATGACAACTTCACTGATCTGTTTTATTCATTTTCTCTTGAACTGATATTTCTTTATTTCCACTTTGATCTTTTTTATTTCCTTAACTCTCTGGAGACTTAGTTTCTTCTATTTTTCATGTGTAAAATTAGCTTACTGAACGTTCCTCTTTATTGCTATTTCTTCTTACTGTCTGTATATATGATGTGTGTTGTGTGGGCATGTGCGCCACGGCATGTGGGCCACGGCATGCATGTGGAAGTCAGAAGACAGCTTATCGGGAATAGACTCTGTCCTTCCACTACACGATCCAGGGATCAATCTCAGTTCATTAGACTCATACAGCAAATGCTTTTACTCAATGAGCCTTCTCACCAGCTCAGGCCCTTTAATTCTAAACATAGGCACTTAGTGTTACAACACCCTCTTTTTGACCTGCTATGGTTGGGGGCCATCGATTTTGCTGTGTCAAGTTTCCATCTCCATTGGCTTGAGATGGACTGACAATTCAAGAGTATCTATCTAATTTCTCTCTCGATGAATTTTGTGGCTTTCCTATAGCTCTCTATTTGAAAGCCATGGTGCTCAGAAATGATGCTCCATGTGACTTCATGTGTTTGCTAGGACTTGCTCAGTACCCAGTGACTTTTGAATGTATTGCTTCTGAATCATGAGGCAAATTTTTATGATATATCACTGTTGTCTAATAGAAAATATGCATTTAGCACCAATATTGGAACTTCCTCTCTATCCCCCAGGAAGCTAAGTGTAAGGAGCCTGGAGCCGCAGGGCATGAGGCTCCAATGTCCTTGTCCACTGTCATTAGCATGCCAGACAAAACTCCACATTGTTGAGAAGAAAGAAATGCCCTGCTCTAGCATTTCCACTTCCTGCCAGGACCTAAAACTTTTGGAGTATCTTTTTCTCAAAAGGATAGGAATCTTCCGTAAGTAACAAAGACACAAAATATTAAAAGCATATGGTGAATTGGTATTATACTATGAAGTATGCCAAATAAAATTCAATTTACTCCTGTTTTCTGTCAAAAGCAAAATATTCTTCCATGTTTCCATCCACGTGGTACACCTCTTCTTTCAGGGATGAGCATGATGTGGGGTCATTCAACTCCGTGCCATCATCAGGGTCTGTCAGGGTAGAGGCTGAGAGTGCCTCAGGGACTATCTGAGAGCCAGAGATACACAACCTAGGAGCAAAAACAGTCTACATGGGAGTCTGCAGAACAAAAGGATGTAATGCCTACATGGCAGTGATAGGCTTGTAAGTCATCTACAAGGTACACAATCTCTGAAACATCACCAGATATTACATTTGACAAAATCCCTATGTTCTGAACGTGTGTGTGTGTGTGTGTGTGTGTGCCTCTGTGTTTCCATGTCTATGCAAATAGGTGTGTGTGTGTGTGTGTGTGTGTGTGTGTGTGTGTGTGTGTGTGTGTGTGTGTTTGAATGTGGAAGCCAGAGGACAACTGGGGGTCTTGGTTCAAGAGATACCCACCTTATATTCTGAGATGTGTTAGCCTGGAGCTTGCCTAGAAGGATAGGCTGCCTGCCCAGTGAGTTCCAGGAACTTGCCTGCCTCCACCTCCCGGCACTGAAATTACAGGTACCTTCCACCACTCCCAGCTTCCTTCTAAAATGTTGAACTCCAGAGCATACAAAATTTTAAAGGCTTCTTAAGAATCACAAACCAGAATATATAACTACATCCTCTTTGCAGTTATAAGGGATGTGACAGCGCCACCTCCCACACGCATAAATGGCATCCAAAGGAGTCATCAGAATATGTTAGTTACTGAAAGACAACAGGATGGAGTTTCATTTCCTCCGTGTACGCCTGGAGGCTCGGAACCCATCACAGTGAGGTGTTTGATCCTGTGTGAGGTTACCTTTCAGGACCTTTGAAACATACACGGACATTGACTCCCCTGTGCTTATGTGTTTATTCCATGTGTGTTTTGCATGTACGCACCCACAAACATGGCTAAAGGCGAAGCATCGATCTAGGATCAGAAGCATCTCGTAAAAAAACAGTGTCCCTCACTAAAATCTGGATCTCTATGCAAATTAGTGGGAGCCAAGGCTCATGGACGAGTTAAACAAGGAGAGTTACAATTAATGTTAACAAATATTTTTGGGTTAAGTTTTTTGAGACAGAGAGAGTGTCATGTAGCCCAGGTTTTACCTCAAGTTTGCAAAGTAGCTAAAAATTCCCCCATCCTTCTGCTCAAATTACATGCTCAAATTACGTGTGTGCACTACCATGCTGGCTAAAAATATTTACTTATGTATTTATTTATTTATTTATTTATTCATTCATTTATTTATTTATTTATTTATTTATTTTGTGCATGCTACATATATAAACTTACTCTCTGATGCTGCTGATGTGGTCAGGAACAGGAGGCAAGGGTTTGTGGGTAACAGAACTAGGCAGCGTCCCCTGGAAATGTCGGAAACCTTCATCACTTGGCGGAATGAGCTGCCTCCCTAACAGCCTGCGAGGGAAGAAAAGCTAAGAAGCTGAGAATTGTTTTAATCAGACAAGGGAAAAAAATGTTTTGTGATGTTTAAACAGGATGCAATGCTGACTCTGAAGGACACACACGGGAGGTGGTGTAGCGTGCACTGGGTCAAGAGAACCGCCATGGTGTCGGAGAAACAGCTCAGGCTTGAAGAAGGCAGAAGGGCTCCGTTCAGAGTCTGCACTGAGGGTGTGAGCAGAGGCGTCCAGCGCCTTCGCCACTTATTTCATTTAGGGGTTGGTCAGGTGGGAATCAGAATCTGAGTTACCTTGCAGGAATGGTGATGGTCTAGAGAGAATGTATGTCTGACCTGAGCACCTAGGGCAAAGAAGCGCGCAGAGAAACTTGCTACAGGCAGTAACTGCATAGGCCCGGTGAATAAAATGCATAAACGGCACACTTGGCCGAGGCTCCTTTCCTTTTTCTATCGTCCCTTCTGGGTTTCCGTAGTAAAATGTAAGATGATGGTGAGAGATGGAAGCCCCGGTGGCCTGACATTTTGGGAAGTGCCCCATGCCCAGAAAAGTGCACAACCATAACCACTTATCCTCTGCACGTGACATGTTCTTTAAGACGAGGCCTCATGAAGAACTGCTTAAAATGGCTTAGGCAAGACTTCTTTGTTGTTGGCCGTTTGGTTGTTGGTTTCTGTTGTTGTTGTTTGTTTTTGAAACATGGCCTCACTATGTATCCCAGGCTGGCTTTCAACTCACAACCCCCTGTCAGCCTTCTAAACACCAGGATTACAGACATGCATCACCACAGCTAGTGAAGACATCTTTTTTTTTTTTTTTTTAAGTTCCCTGGAGAAGCTAATCAGAAAAGTCATGTATATTTGTGCTAGTATTCTAATTCATTCTCCTCAGCTCAGAACTCGAAAACACTAAAATGGATTTCCCCCTAAGTCACAAGACTGGGTGGAGAAAGCAATATTTCCTTTCTACCAAATCCACCTTTTTCCACCTTGAATATAAAAAAATAATAATAAATGTCTGTAGTGGGTTGCCATTCCAGCTTTGATCTGGAAGTTCCAACCCCCATTGAGGCTTTGGTAACTGTCACGCCTACAAGGCGGGGCGGAGAGAGGACCCTGAAGACTCGAGATCCGGATGGGCTGGCTCTCTTGGTTCCTGGATCCTGGACACTGGAGGTAGACCGAGCAGAGTTCTCCAGAGAACACCGTCAGACTGCGCTCCACCTTTCCCAGACCCTGTTGCCTATCCCTTCACTTGTAAGTTACCCCACAAAATAAACCTCCCTTTTAACTACGTGGAGTTATCTTAATAATTTCACCGATAAATGTCTCCTCTGATGTGGAGAAAAGTAGAGAGAGAATAGGGTCATCTAGTCAGTTTTTCAGCAAATGACCACCCAGTCTCTGGAGCACCACTGTTACCATCCCCCCCACTCCCACGCACTCGTGCCCTCAGTGATGACAGACGCTTGTCACTCACACAGAGTGAATGTGGAGATGAAGGGTCACTCCTCAGAGTCTTGCATCTGCCATGTATTTGACATCTTTCTGAGAATGACCTGAATTTGCTTCTGACAAATTCAAGGCATGTGACACCGCCATGTGTCAAGGTTTCCTTGGGACCTATTATAAAAGGTGTGACTTGTCAAGAAAGGACTGAGTTCTGGATAAATACTCCGACTGGGTAAGTGCTCTCAGTCACAATGGCAGAATAAGCGGAAATCAATTGTGTGTAGATCAGAACCCCATTCCGGAAGATGTTGATGGCCATTTCTGTACCTGAGATGGAGGGATCTTCTTGCCCACTCACTGCATTCGGCCAGGAGATTCTGAGTCTGGGGACTCACTTTCCCTTCGAATAGCATTTCCTCAACCTCCCAAAACAGCTGCTGGACTTTCTGAGCATTGACTTTGTCAAATTCCTAAAACAGAAGTACATATTCAAATAAATACCCCGTTAGTTTATGGTCACAATGCCCTGAAATGCTTGATCTCATCACACAGATACCACACTAAAAGTTATAGAACATGGTCTTCATAGTCAGTATTTATAAACTGAAGACCACTAAGTAAGAAGGAGCAAAACAAGGTAAAAGTGTGGGCTCCGTAGCCAGATAGACCAGTGTACCAATGTTTACTTTTCTGATCCATGGCAGCTGATCGATGGCAATCATATTAAGCCTCGAGTTCATCAACTGTTAAATAAAGATAAGGTTTACAACATCAGTTTTGGCTCATCTAAGGTCCCTCACAGATACAGATGCACATCTGTACATAGCTGTCATCCCGGGGGATGAGGTGGGGGGGAGTATGAAGGAGACTTAGGATTCTGCAAATCCTAGCAAACCCAGAACTGTAGCTAAATAACTCACTCGTCTGAGAATCCCACTGTCATAAAACACCCAACACCGGGTTCAAGTTGATGGCTTGTCTCAGGTTAGAAGGTAAAAGTGAAATATCTGGCTTGGGGGAGGATACATGTGGGGGTGCCAGGGTCCTCTAGTCATGAAGATGGTTCATACCTTTTGCTTTCCCAAAACTTTCTCTTTCTTGTATTAATTGTCAAGGTGTTGTCTTAAGTTTCTAGCCATAGGAAATTATTTAAAGTGAAGCACAATGGTAGGCAGAGTTGTGGGGAAGAACGAAACAGACGACAGCTAAGACTCTGGGCTAGGAGTTAATCAGATAATTTATTTTTCTCTATATTTTGATACTTTGATACTTTCACATGTAACAGTATAAATGCAAATATATATGCATATATATATATCATGTATGATATCCTTAATAATGCTTAGATAAATGTAGACAGATTCTTTCTGAACATAAGAAAGCAATTCTTAGGGCTGGGGAGGTAGGTCATTGTGTCAAGTGAAGTCCTGGCTTGGATCCCGAACACCCAAGTGAAAGCTGGGTGTGGGAGCATGCACCTCTAATTTCAGTCCTGGGAGGTGGGGTAGAGACAGGCTGATCCCTGGGTTAACTCCAGGTTTAGTGAGAGACCCTGTCCAAAAAAAAAAAAAAGTGGAGAATGATAGAGGAAGATATTCAAAGTTGACCTCTGAATGAGCATCGCAGTTGAAGGTGCATCCTCCATCCACCCACACATACACAAATGAGTCAATTACAAGAAGGTACTTCCCCATAGACCACCCCCACGTGTTACTGAAATTATAAAAAAGACATACATCATCTCTCCAAGAAGAAACTGAGCTCCTCTCTGTCGACAGTTCGGTGGTGGAACTCTGAGTGGAAGAGCCAGGCCATGAGTTGTGGGCCTCCGTGGGCGTGCGGCTCCCACTGGAGGAAAAGGATGAGGGGGACTCACTGCAGGAAGGAACACAGGGGACAGGCATCCCGTGAGCCGGGAGGAGTGGACGTCCTGCACGGACTTGACTTCTCTAGGCCTACTTCCTCTCCCCCGTTCCCTTAAATGTGTTTGCGAAGTTCACAGCAAACTGGCTTCATAGTCACGTGGTAACATATCCCTACTGCTGACCCCTCCCTCATATTTATTATGCGTCTGTTTTGCTTGGGCCACCAGCAGCACTGAAGACGATTACTTCTTACCTGGCATATTTGTCAATGGCTTTCTGCACGTTTCGTGTAAAATTTGTAGGTAGAGGATCTTTGCTCTTCACAGAGCTGTGCCTCCTCAGTCCTTCCGAAAGTCCTCTTCTGGAAAGAAAGGAAACCAGGAAGTCGGACAAGGCTCTAATGTGATCTCATGTCCTTCATTGACTTATAAACCCCTGCTGTCCAGGGCCACTCCTCTTCCCTTGCCACTGAGGCCCAGGAACCCCTTATTTTAATTTTCCTTGCAATCAAGGTTGCCAATAACCTACATGAATATTTACATAATGAAAATATAATTAACAACTATTTGTGACAAAGTCAGAAAATCCAAAGTGGCCTGCTAGTTGGCAGTACTTCTGACATAGTTCTTTTCCAAGGCCTAGGGCTTGGCAAGTGGAGCATGAGCCAGGTTCATGTTGTCTCTTAACCAGGCCCCTTTGTACTTATAAAACCCAGTGAGCACGCAGCCAGCCAGCGACCATTAATCCCAGATCGATTCTGAAAGACACCAAACTATTTTGAATCACTCAGAAGGCATTCAAATATCTCATCTTACTGTCGTTGTCTGGTGTGCATTCGGAGTTTTAAAGGACTCTGACATATTAAAATGGAATGGAAAATTAGAGTATCTAAAACCTAAGTAAACTATTAAACCAACGTGGTACAGTTCATGTTAATCATTAACATGCCTTTTCCATGAACCTTCTAAAACATTTACTTCCTCCTCATCTAAATATCTTCTGCATGTGGAGTGGCAGTAAACCACTTCTGTTTGTTAATAGGAATCATAAATTTCCATACAGATAAAACAACTTAAGATGGGGGAAGAAGACTCCAACTTTCAGTACTAGAGGTGAAGACACCACTCAGTGAGCTTTGAAAATAAAGGCTGGCATTGCTTTTAATTAAAGTGGTACTTAACTTTTAACATTTGTATTTTTAATATAAATGGAACATACCCTGCCTTTCCCTACACTCTTAGAGTCCTCTACGACAAAGGGGGTTCTTTAAAAAATTAACGCCATCTGCAGAGGTTAGCCAAGAACATCTCTGCCTTCCACTGGTGGTGTTTGTACAACAGTGATGAACAGAATTGTGTTGTTTTCCATTCCTACTACTTACATCTCTTAGGTACAGTTAAATAATTCTGAGGCAAAGATGTTAAAGAGGAGCAGAGAAAAGGACAAAGCCTAGTGTAAGACTTTACACTTTTCTTTATTCTGAGGTAGTTGGGCTTGAACCCAGAGACTCTCTACATGAGGCAGATGCTCTGCTACTGAGCCACACCCTCTGCACGCAACTCTTATGTTAATAAGCCACTTTCTGTTGGCACGGTTCAGTTGTTTCTAAACGGTCTTTAAAACCACCCACATCGTGAATCAACTTTTAGGTAGTCATAGAAATTCCTACAGACCAGCTTTTCCACAATCAACCAACATTACATCAAGTAGATATATTTTGAACATTAAGGAGTATGATTTAGATGTGAGCTAACATGCCATTCAGAAACATTAAAACTTTGGTGTCATGGACCTGCCATGGACCCCTGAGGTCAACACCCACTTCTGTAAACTGTAGACAATACAGCAGCCATCCTCGCCGTGTCCTAGAATCATTGACTCCAAGGTCATGGAGAAGATAGGAATGACCATACTGCAGGATGGCTAACACCAGCACTTTCCAGGCAGCAGAAGGTACTAACATGGTGAATTCAAACCACAGCCTAAAGGGTCTTTGTTTCTTATATTATGTTTTAGCCCTTAGGTTTCTCTGTTCTCTAGCCAAACACTGATCTGTCATTCCATGTGTAGCTTTGAACATCTTACTCCCCTGTGAATTATCAACTCCTACATAATCTACTCAGCCTGAAAAAAGAATATGCAAATTACAGGACATATCCTATGCAGTGAGTATTTTAAAACTTACATCTGGAGCAATGTCTGTTAGAGTTATGAAATCTAACATACAGACACTTATAATTTTATGTTAGTTCTTTCCTGACGCTTAAATTTTAGAGATAGTAACAGTTTTGTTCTGTGAACAACTGAAACCAAGAGGTGGGTTCCCTTGGGGTGGACTGAATGGAACCACAATGCACTAACTTGCTGACTCATCAAAGTTAGGGCTGAATAGTCATCTCTGGTAGTTCCTCCAGACACTTAACTTACTCTGTTTTCACTTTTATTTTTTAAGGTGGGTTTTTGATGACCTGCAAAACTTGGGTCAACTGCCCTGTGGAAGTTCAGATCCGCACAGCCTTCAAAACACCGTTCCTCTGTTTGAAAGGAGTATTTGAAATGGATACAATGAATAAAGTCTCTAGATGAAAATGCAGAGCACTGGAGTTTTCTTTTTTTGCTTTTGTTTTTTTCCTCCTGAGGCTGGGTGCTGAGCACAGGGCCTCATGCAAGCTAAGCAAGCCCTCTACCCCCCGAATTGAAGCCAGCAAGGATCTGATTTTAGACTCTGTAATAAACACACCCACGGGTGGTCCTCCTAAGCCCCAGAAGCAACCATAATTGCCTCTTTGAGAAGCCAAGAAGTAATGTCATTTGGGAAGGCCTGCTGATGTCAGCACGCCACAATTTCATGAATGAATGCAGGAAGGAACGCACAGACCAGATGGATTTCGCCTTTGTAGGCCGGGGGGAATAAACACGCACTTCTCACAAGAGAAAAAACAAAAACAAAAAAAAAAACAAGCCATGGTCTAGAACTCATTACACCCAGCTCCGTGAACTTACCCAATCACAATCAGCCCCAGACTCTGGCCGGGATCCCACCGGCCAGGCCCGGAGCCTCGAGGAGGCCTGGGCACCCCGGTGCGGTGGCTCCCCGCGGCAGCTCCACGCGGGGCGAGGACTGCAGCATGTCCCCGCGTCCCCCGGGCCTCAGCTCCGCGCCCGCCCAGCCCTGCGCCCCGAGTCCAGCTAGCGCTGCTCCTGCCGCCGCCGCGGGGCGCCCGGGACCCGCGAGCTCGCAGAGACGCAGCCAGCGGCTCTCCCGGCCGAACCAGCGGGGCCCATGGGCGCGGCGGGTCGCGGGGCTCCGGGCACGGCTTCTCGCTGGCGACCCTCAGGTCCGGCGGAGGCTGGATGCCACAGCGAGGTCTCCCGACTCTCGGATCTCTCCTGCCTCCCGCCTCGGCCCGGACTGGAGTGGGCAGAATCGTGGCCAGCACTCCCCGCCCCTTCCCGCCCTCTCCGGCCAGGACCTCTGGAAAAGCTGGTCCCTGCTCTGGCAGATCACAGACTTCTTTATACAGGAAGGAGAGTTTTGATGGCCTCCCGGAGCCAACCCCATAGTCCTCTTTAAAATCTGGATTTCCCAAGCCCTGGTGCTTCCAAGCTAGCTTCTCCGAAATAGCACATTGATTCCTGAGAGAAAGGCAAAGAACCGTAGGAGATTTTCACATCCCTCCTCCCCGCATCAATGAGATGCAAGGTTTCAAGTGAGAAGGCAAGAGAGGTTTAAAATAACCAAGTCCCAGACCTAGCAAATGGAAGATCAATTATTCAATTAATCGGAGCTTTAGGTCCCCATGACACACAAGATTAGCATCCTTTCCTGTGCCGCCTCTCTTTCTGCAAACAAATGCTTCAAGTCATGCAAACCAGTCATTTTACTGTAAACCAGAGAGCATCAGTGCTGTTTGACTCATTGGATTTTTTTTTTTTTTTTTTTTTTTTTTTTTTTTTTTTGGTTTTTCGAGACAGGACTCATTGGATTTTTAATGCACGGTTTGCCTTCTTGCATGTTTTTGAGATGAGGTCTCATGCTTTGTAGCCCGGAGTTAGCCGGGAACTCACTACGTAGCCCGAGCTAGCCTCCAACTGTAGCAATCCTGAGTGACCACTGAGATTACAAATGTGAGCACTCACATTCGTGTGTGTGTGTGTGTGTGTGTGTGTGTGTGTGTGTGTGTGTGTTCACGTGTGTCCCAGATACCTACTTTTGAATACACAACAAACTTACTGGAATGAAACGATGGTTCTAGATGTACAACTCATCTGTACATATATAAGACCCTGAGTGCAATCTCCAGCTGCAAAAAAAAAAAAAAAAAAATCAAGCTAAAAACTCCAAGATTGAGGCCCCATGAGAATCCATCCTTTCGTGTTAGCAAGTCCATTGCCATCATCCTCAAAGAAACAGGCAACTAAAAAAATCCGGAGCGTGGGAGAAAGAGCCTTCCCCAGGGAAGAGCCCAAAATTGACTATCCAATACCAAATGGTCAGCCCTGAAATCACGTACATATGAGTAACATTATATGGACTGAACAGGTTTTACTTATATAATTAGGATTATTTATTCCTACATAAGTATGTATATACAACTACAATTAAAAAAATAGAGGCCATGGATTTGAGAGTGAGTGAGGGGGAGGTGCATGGGAAGGCTTGGCGGAGGAAGTGGATGGGGGTAAACAATGTAATCGTATTTTAATTTTAAAAAATATGAAAACTCATTTCCCCGTGTTCACAGTCGACAGGATTCAGACATGCTGTCAAGATTGTTTCCTGCTCCATGTGAGCTCACTCAGATTTTTAATCTGGTGACTGATCTGGTCTGGAGAATCCATATTGACTTCATGCAGGTGTCCACTCAATGGGTAGAGAGGTGGCTAATAAATAGCTAAAACCCTGATTTTAGTTGGGCCTTCCTTTTGTGTAGTCTCAAGACATCTTCAAACAGTTCCTGCAACAGGATGGCCATTATTCAACACGGTAGCTCAGGACTCCAAGAAACGAGCAGACACTCAACTCCATCAAAACCTGGCCTGAAACTGTATGTTGACACTTGTACTATAATTAAAGCAGTCATGAAGTCGAAGGCAGAGACATCAAGCCCCACTTCTCATGGGGAAGGATGTCAAAGGATCTACAGCCATCTTGGATCCACAGCAATCCTCCAACTAGTCACAATCACACTGCTCCTGGCCTCTAACATGCTAAGTGCTCTCAAGAGTCTGAGAAGTCTCAGCACATCCAACTGTGGACCACACAGCTGTTTACAGGCCATTTCCTTTGCATCAGAAGCTCTGAACAAAACAGCTCCAACAGGTGTTCAAAACTGTTATTGCTGGAGGGTATCTACTCCT